AAGTATGAAGTATTTTAAGATAACACATTCTTTTTCTATTTGTATAGGTAAGTTTTATTTAGGTGATGCCGGATTCCCTTTATCTCTAGGTGTTATCACACCTTTTAGAGGGGTAAGGTATCACTTAAAAGAATATGACGTTAACCCACCAACAAATAAGAGAGAATTATTTAACTTGCGTCATGCGTCACTGCGAAATGTGGTGGAGAGGGCATTTGGTGTGATCAAGAAACGTTTCCCAATTATGAAAAGTGCTGATGAGCCGAATTTTAAAGTAAAGACGCAAAAGAAAATAATAGTGGCTTGCTCAATTTTGCACAACTATTTGTTACGTGGAGATCCTGATGAGGCTTGGGACGAAGACACGGATGAAGACGAAGATGACAACCTTGACGGGAACGAGAACACAATACCTCACGCTCGTAGTGGGAACGAGAACACAAGGATGGCAGAAGAATTACGTGATTCCATTGCAAAGGCCATGTGGGATGATTACATTACTCATACATAGCTTTTGTAAAACTTTTCTTTGTTATGATTGACTTATAATGGTGTGCGTATTTAAACTTACTATGTGCAACATTCTTTTTTGGATTTTAAATTTTATATAACTATGGAGTATGTACTTCTTTCTTGTGCAACATTCGAATGGATAATGGCTATTATCTTTTGTTAAATATATGTGTTATTCTTGTAGTACACTATAGTATGTGTTCTTATTTGTTTGCTTATATTATAGAATGGCTACAAAAACCAATCGGGCAGGTGTGCGCACAACAACCTGGACTGAAGACATGGATGAGTTTCTTATCGATGCTCATTTGGAACAACACAGAAAAGGAAATCGTGTTGGAGGTACATTCACTCCTCGAGCTTATGACTATATTTTGAAAGAGTTGAAAGAAAAATATCCAGATGAGAATTGGACAAAAGACAAGTTTCGTGGGCATATGCGGCTACTTAAAGGCAAATTCTCAGCTGCGTTTGATGTTTTCCGACACATCTCAACCAGTGGTTGGGGCTTCAACTCAACCACAATGACTTGGGACGTCGATGATGATGTGTGGGATGCTTTTGTGGAGGTATGGATGAACTACATTTTTTTATGCATGAAATGGACATATGTATTATGTCGCGACTCTAATACAAATGTAATTTATTATGTAGGCTCATCCAGAAGCAAAAGAATGGCGAGATAAGCCAATACCATTTTATGATAAGATGTGTGAGTTGTATGCAAGAGATAGAGCTACTGGAGAGTTTGCAGAAACACCGTCAGAGATGCGACAATCTAGAGAAGGTGGCTCAGATGCTTTCACAGGTATTCAGAGTGATTGTGGAATTATAAATGATATTGATGATTTGTTATCCAACAATGAGTGCACTCTAGAGGCTTCTCCCACCCCTCTCGTCGGTAATACAAAGCAAGTTGGAGGTGATGATGCACCAAAATCTTCGGAGAATATGTCTAAAGACAAGACTAGGAAAAAGAAAAAAATTAAACTAAGTGATGAAGAATTTCTTACGAAATCGGTGACTTTAATTTCGGATGCAATGAAAACATGTACTTCTGAGTATTTGAAAGAAAAGAATCCGCTACCCCCAGCAGATATATGGAACCTTGTTGGATCGCTGAGTTTCGAGGGAAGTCGTAAGAGTCATGCGTACATGTTCCTTTTGGAGAAACCTGTGACTGTGAAAGCAATTCTTGGATTACCGGAGGAAGTACGCGAAAGTTTTCTCAATGATGTTCTGAACAAGGAAGGAATCTGAAGTGGTCACTATTTTATTTATCATAACACTTGTGTCTAAATATGTCGTTTTTTGTGAACATATGTTACATTTGAAGTCATTGTCCATGTTTTTTGATGTGTGGAAGAACAATATGTTTGATGTTTTTATTATGAAATGTGTGACAACTAAATTTTGATTAGTTGCATTTATATAAGATGATGTTACTTAGAAGTTTCGTCTCAGAGTGTTATCTTAATTTTAAAATTTTACATTTAAAATTTAAATAAATTCTAATAAAATAAATAAAAAAATGGTTAGAAGTGATGTAAAAATAATTTTGTATTTATATTTTACGCACGCATATAAAAGCCCATGCAAAGTATAGGGTAAAAATTAATAAGAATATAATGTAAAAGGTTATTTTCTATAAATACATCCTAAACAAATAAAGAAAATATCACAAGGATATTTTAGTAATTTTATTCTTTCCCTACCTCACGTTACCTAATAAACATCCAAACACAATTTTTTTAACTCATTACCTTACTTTACCTACCTTCAATTACCTACCATTACCTACCTAATAAAACTTTTACCTACCTCCAACCAAACATACCGTAAATATAATCAAATCTAATTTGGGTTAATAGCATGGGTGCCCCATGTGGTTTACAAAAAGGGCGTCAGAACCCTCTCTGTTTTCAAAAGTTATTTGTAAAGTCCAGGTGGTTTCTAAATAGAGAACACATGCCCCCCTAACCTATTTTTAAAGCAAAAGACATTTATACCCTTTGTTTTCCCTGATCTTGAATTTTTCCAATTTCAATTTCCTTTATTATACAAATATATAAAATAACATATACGCTTCCCATCTCAAATTAGAATTTTTCATAATGTACTTTTGAAAACAAAATATTTTTTTGGAGAATTTACCAAAAAATGAAAAATAAAATATTATGTACAAAGTAAAAAGTAATAATAGTTAAGAAAGGTAATGAAAAGAAATAAAAATATAAAAAAATAGTCTTTTTCTTTAACTCCATATTTTATTTCATCTTTCTATTCTTCATTTTTTAAAGTCCTTAAAAAATTATTTTACTCTTAAAAAACAAATAAGTTAGAATTTTTAATTAGAGATAGAGTGAGTATATGTTATCTAATTTTTTATTTTATTTATTTTACTTTTACTTATAATGAAGAAGTGTATTTTATTTCATTTTTGTAACATTTTCTAAAAAAAATTATTTTTTTAAAAATTAAATAAATGAAAAATTTTAATTTGAGAAAAAGGACGTATATTTTATTTTATTTATTTGTATAAAAAAACGTAAAGAAAAGAGTGGAATTTGAAGTTAGAGAAAAATCAAGGGCAGAAATGTCATTTCATATCTAAAATAGGCAAGAGGGGGTGTTTGTGCACTTTTTAAAAACCACAAGGGTTTTACAAATAACTTTTGAAAGTAGGAGGGTTTTGGCGCTCCTTTTGTAAACCACAGGGGGGACACCCATGCTATTACCCCAATCTGATTTTAATAAAAAAGATAATAAACACAAAACATAAATTTAATGATCCTATGGAGGATGTAAAATATAGGATCTCCATCAAATTTGGGTATAAAAAAAGAAAATAAGAAAAGCCATCAACCAATTCCCATTTTAGAGTTTGCACGACTTACAAGTTACAATTGGGAGAGGGGAGAGCGAGGGAACGACGACCGATCGGCGAAGAGAACAAAAGAAGGGGGACAGTGCTGAACAGTCGGAATTGCGCCACTATGGACGACGATAAGTCGAGCAGAGGAGATTGGCGAATGTCTCAGTTCAAGGTAAACTCGTGAAAACTTTCTTGATGTTCTCACTTTAATCTTTGAATTTTATTTCTTGATTTTAAATTTAGGATTTCATCGTCCGGATCAAATTCGAAGCTTTAATTTCTGAAACTTTAGTGTTACAGTCTAGAATTCTAAAATTTTATGCTCATATTCTTTGAACAATTACACTGCGTCGTAGATTGTTTCCAAAACTTGAAGTGTTAGTAAGATTGACAATATGTTTAGGTCTTGATTGTTTACTTCGAGGATGTGGAAATCTTTTACTCTTTTTTTGATAATATGTAGTCTACCGTTTGGATATTTTTTGAAAAATTTCAATGTACTCAGAACTTTCGTTTGCATCTTGAGATTAATTTTTTTTTAATTGAGCAGCTTTAATTTCAATCTTGAAATTTAATTTATAGCATTTATCAAAGGTTTCTCCTTTTCAATCCTTTCTTGATTCCGTGGCATGACAGTGACTCCCATGTGGCCCAGTCTGGCTTCATTGACAGACAACACCACCATTCTAGACATTCTGCTGGTCTACCTCCATATTTCCTAATCTTCAATATAAAAGGTAATTGGTTTTAATTTCTTTTGAATATGAGTAATTAATGTATGGACTATGCTGTTTTTGCATTTTATATGAGTATTTTACCAAACGTTATGATTTATGAATTCCATTGATTTTTAATTTTATGGTGTATAAATTTATTAACTTCATAGTTATTATTGTTAAGTTGTAAACCTAAAATGCATAGTTAATTTTTTTTTTTTAAATTTGGATGTACATTGCAATGATATTTCAAAAAAAAAAACAGCCCAAATATGAAGAACAGAAAGGTTCTTTTGACCTTAGAAAAAAATGATCAGATAATGACCCATGCATTTTGGGGCACATACGGTGCTCCGTTGGTTAAGTTGATGGTTCCTACCCCTTTACCCCCCCCCCCCCCCC